AAATAAAAACTAGTATCATTTTCCTTGGATTTTGAATCTTATAGTAAGTTTTTTTCCGATTTGAAATCGTATAAAAATACGGTATCGAAAAACGAACATTCTTTCATTTATTAAAATGTTGACAATTCTGCCCTTTAAATCTACCAAAAAATATCGTTGAAAGATCGGTAGGTTAAGAATCGAACCTTCGCTAACGACAGCAACCTTGGATTCCGCAGGGCCACACTACGTCCTCAGTACACCCAACTTCGACGGCAGCCACCGCGGGCTGACGTTCAGCTTCTCGTTGACAAGGCGCTCGCTTGCGCAATCGTCTCGTCGATGTCGTTGCTGACGATCACGTAGTCGAAGAGGTGACCAGCTTGGCGCAGGATTTCGATCTTTAGGAGGCGTTCAATGGAATCCGTTTAAGCCGGAAATGAATAGATGATTTCAGAAAAAATTGCTTTTAATGACTAGAAGGCCTAGTAAAAATGTTTAGCTTATTTTAATGCACTAATAGCTGCGAAAACCTACATCTTGCAACCCTTGCAAATTCGGCGCGGCGATGAAGACGACGAAAGGCGAGTACTCGGCGGTTCGGAGGGACTTTTCCAGGGCGCTGTGGCTCCCGTCCAATATGATACACATCTTTCCGCTCGTATGGATATTCCGGATCGTCTCGAGTTTCGTGCCGTACATGCTCTCCTCGTGGGTGCCTGGAAATTGCGTGTTTTCAACGATAATCTTCTCACAGTATACAAAAAAAAACGTAATTGGCGATTTGTCTAGCCGGCAAAGCGTAAAACAAGGAAATTGGTATTATTTTATATACAGTGAACTCCCGAAAATCACTCACCATACTCCAAATATTCGTTATTCTGTATGTCGACCATCATCTGCTCGTTCGAGACAAAGAAGTAGTGTTTGCCATCGAGTTCATCTTTTCGAGGTTGTCTTGTAGTGTCTAGAAAATTAATACTACTTTTAAAGGTTTAGGGAAACCAAATTTAATGCCAATATCTCAACAGCCTTTACTTACGTGGTATCGGATATGCAAATCGCTGCGGGTGGCGGTGGATGAGGGTGTTTTTGATGTGTCTCCGGCCAACGCCATGGGCACCGAGGAGTACCAAGGTTTTTCGACGGTATTGTGATAATCGCATTACCTGGAAAAGGAGTTTAGCTTACTGAAAAAAAGATGTAATCTATGTTTAAAGGCAGGTTGAAGCCAAAATCTATATAATAACTGGCTATGGAAGCATTCAGGCAAGTTTTGGGCTTTCCATATCGGTAAAAACGAGATTTGTGATGTTTTAGATTGTAACACTACGTAATACACCTATAAACAGTGTCGTACAACTCCAAAATCAAGATTTATGGTACGTTAGGGTACGATTTTTCTCTTTCTTACCTCCTCATACGTCACCAGGTCGAGCTGGTCAAACAGAGTCGAATGTTTCTGCAGGTATTTGGTAGAGTAGTACTTCTTCTTCTTGTTGAACCACATACAGTGGGCGGGAAGGCCTGAAACAATTACGTACGGTAGGTTATACCCAACAAGTTCGTTAAGTTAGCCTTAAAATACCAACATGTCAAAACAGTGGTAAAAAATAGTCAAAGAAGCGCTGAAAATCAACGAAACAACAATTTGTAGACCAAACGACACGCCGCAACCCCGTAAACGTTTAATACAGGATAGAAGCGCTACGTAATATAGTAATCTACCTTTCCGATAACTTTAAGAGAAATATTTCACGAGTACTTACATGTATCCTTCGCTCGCTCCATTGCCAAACAAGCCGTTCGCCATTCTTGCAGCTCTGGACTAGGGATCAAGCCGGCTGTTGTCTAAAGGAAAATGACGTAGTTGTGATTACTTTAACTCCTTGCCATAACCAATCTCTTGCTCCTGAATGCTTACTACGACTGGGGACTCACCTGCGCCTCCTTGTTCGGATTGCCGAGCCCGGGAAATCCGGAGATGAACCGCGCCTGCCACCAGTTGTGGTCGTCCTTGGAGATTACCTAAGAATGGAGATTTAATCGGATAAAACGCTAGTTTTAATAGCTTATCAATAAACCATATTAAATAGTATACCTGCAGAATATCGCCCGTCTTAAAAGCCATCCCAGCTTGAGGGCAGGGTATCAAGTCGTCCTGACCGGGCTCGTAGTCGAATTGGGCCCGCACGAATATCTCACAAGCCGGAGGGGCCGAGCGGTAGGAGGGCACAATTTTGAAGGTTACCTAGAAATATAGTTATAGTCTTTTTCAGACATGGAAATAAGCTTTTTATACGGTTTTAAGGGACCAATAAACTAGAAAAATACCGACGACCAACAGCGTGTCAGGCATAGGAAAATTTAGACCTGGCAAGCCGCCAAATCCGTCTAAAACAAAAAAAAAAATAGCAAAATGACGTCGCGAACGTTATTGGCAAAGTTCCAAAAGTCAAATTAAGATATTTTCCTGCTGTCCTAACCCCTTTAAAATAAATTTTCTCCACGCCAACCTGTCCCCTCGCATCTCGCAACATTTGCTGAAGACTCTCCACAGATCGATGAGCCACCGAAACGCCGTTGATTTCTCGGATCTCGTCGCCAACGTGTAGAGTAGCTAAACGGGATTAGTTTGATAATTTCAAACTGTTGGAGATTCAAATAATTAAAAATCATACTGGAAACTATCAAATTTCACTTACCTTGCCGATGTATCATCCCGCCGTGCATGATTCGCGCCACGAAACAACGACCTTCTTCGGTGACCTGAATTCATGATTTAGGCAGTTACATCAATTTTTATCACGTTTCAACCTGTTTTTGACATAAACATACTTATTAAATCTAAATGTAGAACTATCATAAGGCAAAGTTATAACTTATGAGCTAAGCCCTTGAGTCCGAAAAACTTACCTTTAACGTGATGCCCATCGGCTCTTCGGAGTCTTTTTGGAATTGGACGAGCCGTACTCTCGAGACAGAGTCCATCAGAATATCATCGTCGTCATCACCTAAAACATCTCGTAATCGATTACGAAATAAAAATTTGATTTGAAGTGTGGCTCCGATGTCGTTTTGATTTTTGGAGTACGCTACGCACCTGTAAACGACGTGGGCAGATAGTCCTCATGGCTGGTGCCGGCTCGTTGAGCGCCTAGAGGTAGAACACCTCCATTTAAATATGAGAATGGGGCATTGGGATCCCGTTGAGAGGGAAGGCCCGTACTCGATGACATGGACCGGCAAGCGTCTTGTGAGGCACCAGTAGCACAGGCTGCGCTCTGGAAATCGGTGGTTTAAAGGAGTTTGAAAGGGCGTGTTTTTGTCGTTTTTGGGAGCGAGAGTGAGACCGAGAGAGGGAGAGAGAGAGAGAGAGGGAGAGAGACAGAGATAGATAGTAATTGAGAGAAAGCGAGATCGCGGGGTGAGCAAGAGCTGGCGAGAACGAGCGAGAGAATGAGAGAGGTCTCGAGGGAGCAACAGCTGGCGAGAAAGAGCAAAAGAGCGTGAGTAAGAGAGTCAGTGAGAGAGAGAGAGAGACAGACCTTATTTTTGTATCCCTTTAAAAGACTACTTGAAATCCTCATAATGCATGAGTTCCGCAGCGCCCATTCTAGACAAACCACTCCCAGATGCATGGCGGGTTTTTTGGCGGAGAAAATGGCTGCGGCGCCCCTGGGTATTTTTTGCCACTTCCGCGCTAATTTATCGAGTTGTTCGGCGCTGCTCGGAGGTACCGAAGAAACCGAGAGAAGCCGAGAATTTGTTTCACTTTACTGGCGGGGTATGGGAACTTATGGGAGTTAGGAAACGACTCCTAGAATGAAGGCTTATGTGGTTTGCAAAATCCCCATCAGGTCGGAGCACGGAAAAAGGAGATAAAACAAGATTTCTGGTTTTTTCAACTAAACAATAAAAACCGCAAAAGAATTCCAAAATTAAATTTTTCAGTGCCTTGAATATCTATATTCAAAAGTTCGGAATGCCGCATTAATGGGTTTACAACCTTTGACTACAAAATACTGAAAAAACCATTAAAAAAGACTCACGAATTCCTTTGAAGAAGACAAGACCTAAAACTCAGGGATCCCAGGCTGTACGGCTACTTTTGCATCGATCAAAACGCGAAAACAATTAATTTGAAACAGTCCCCTCAGAAAAGAGCTGGCTGAAACCCAAAATTTTGGCAATTATCTTGCGTTTCGGTGTACTTCGCCACGGACAGTTGTCCTATTTTCAATCCCCATTGCCTTAGGATGAGAGCATTGACTAGGCCCCCCGGGGCCAATGGATGAATCCATTTTCCGGCTGTCACATCGTGCCCCCTCCCGGCCATCGGATCGTGTGACATTCGAGCACCGGCCGATTAGCGCCTCGCTTGGGCTAGACTTGGCTAGAGGAATGGAAAACACGCCAAGCTAGGGTAAGGTATTTTTTGATGTTTTTTTTGATAAAATTTGGATTCTCTTCCTCGCAATTAGGATCCGATGAAATTTTTCGGCAGGGTGAGTTCCATTTTGGAGAAACTGGAAAGCAGAATAAAAAGGTTAATTTCGTAAAAAGAATTAAAAAACAGAAAATGACGCTTTCATGCCGGGACGTCTTTAAATTTTGCATCAATAAGAAATCATCCAAAAAACGGGTGATAAGAAGATTTTAGAAAGAATTTGCTGGTTTGAGAACAAGGTAGATGGGAGAACTAAGATATAAGGCTCATCAGAATGAAAATCAATACCAAGCACTAACCGTGGAGGGCTGCTGATCAAGAAGCTGATGCTCCTGGCTCGTCCCTGGGCCATTGTAATCGCGTTCTGCGCCGTACACCTCTTCCACGACAACGTCGAGGGCTTGCAGTGAGGCCTGAATAAAATCAAGATATGTGGGATTGAATGGATAAAGATATTAAATACGTTTTAATAGATAGTAACTCCAAAAGGTTACTACGAAGAAAAGCTTTAAAAACGCTAAAAAACGAGATTATGGCATGATAAATCCATCGAAATTACGTAATTTAAGTTATGCCAAGCCTAGACTAAATTAAAGTATAGTTTTTAACGTATTTTAGCGGAATTTAATGCTAATTACGATATGCCATTGCTAAACTAATTTTTACAAGATCAAAATCGATAGTATCCGAAAACTCACAACAACATCGGTGTACTGGAGAAGTTGCCGTAATTCTAGAGACTCTGGACTGGGCGATAGCAACGTTTCGATGTAGGAGACGGTCTAAAAAATAACAAACTTAACGAATTACGATATTAAAATATTTAGAAACAGAGAAGTCAAAAAAATACCGCTACCTCTTTCGACAAAATCGACGCATCTTCCCCGCAGACGACGGGCCGGGATTGGAGTTGTGAGATCTTTTCATACAACTGGAAAAATAGAAGATAATTGGTGTTATAAAAATTAATAGGTATTTTTAGATACCCTAAAGCACAATTTTCTGACCGGAACCATGCAATTCGATTTTAAAAACAAGAAAATTTCACATGACTTCACGAACGATTTTTAAGGAACGGTACATGCTTATTTTTCTAAGCAAATAAGAAAAACTAAAAAAAACCGTAGTGATACAAATAATGACAATTTTTAAAGCATAGATATGGATCATGGCATTTTAAAGGTATACCTGCAAAACAAAAAAACAACAACATGAAAATGACGTAGAAAATTCACAAAGTGTCGCTGCCTCACCGAATTCCGCAATTGTACAGTGCAGACGGCCGATTGGGTGGCTATCACCTCCTCCTCAGACTCCTCATCCCTAGCGGATTGCAGCCCGCTGGGCCCCGGCCGATCGTCGTCCGGAGGAATGTCCCGTACCGCCTCGGGCCCGTCCTCCATTTCATGGATGCCCCCGGGTCTAATGGAAGGAGTAAGGTTGAGCACAAGACGAAATGAAGCTTTAGGGGCAGATTGAAGGAAAAAGCGGGGGAAATTGTTTAGAGTATTGTATCAGGGAGTAGCAGAGATCATTGAGGAAACCTCTAATGTATCAGCGCGTAGCGGATAAGCGCAAAATTTGAGAAAAGACGGCACTATGCCCCCCTTTTAAGTAGCGTCCAGCAACCATGCTAGTAGCTGCGCTACGATACGCGTCACCACGCGTACGTACGCCTCGATGCGCGGCGAGGAGCATACGGAACCCTACGGAATAATACTCTTCGGTACGTTTCGCTACGCTATGATGCGCCCCGCTGAAACGAGACGTTCCGCAGGAATACGCATGATTACGCTCGTAACTTACGTTAGGATTCGCTTGGAAAGTTAAACAACGCCTAAACCTAGACCTAAACCTAAGCAAAGCCTAAGAAAAGCCTAAGCTTAAGCCTAAGGGAAACCTAAGCCCAAGCCTGGCTACGCCTAAGCCTACGTCTAAACCTAAGCCTAACTTAAGCTAGTTCCCAGGTCGTTTTACAAGAGAAAATGTGGGTAAACAAACAGAGAACGGGCTCGTTCCGCTGGAGTATGAGTTCGACTGGCGAGGTGACTAGTGGCGGGCTAAATGTTGTGTGGAAGAATGGGGGGAGGAGTGAGGGACAGAGAGTAGAGGAGAGAGAGAGAGAGAGAGAGAGAGCGATAGAGAAAGAGACCCCGAGAAAGACCCACCCCCCGGGAGAACCCAGGCCAAATTTCGGGGCCTAAGGCTCCGGGTGGCTGCCCAGGCAGAGGCTTAGGACCCAAGGGCTCAGAGCCGAGATGGCAACGTTTGTGGGGTGGGGGGAGTGAGAGCCATCGTGGCTTCTTCTTCAGCTTCTTCGTCCCTTCAGCCCCAACCCCGATAACTAGCTTTCTTTCCATTCGCACCGCACTCGCTCCTGCTTCTTCTCCCTTCTTAGTCAGTGCCCGCTCTACGGCCTCCTTCTCTTGGGACGCACGGCGCGACAAGTAGCCCAAATTCGGGGGAAAGTTGCGCCTGGCGGGAGGAGCAGCAGCATGGGAGGGAGGAGGAACGCTTCAAGACCCGACCCAAATCGATAAGTTTTGGGGATCTGATGTTGTTTGGTGGGTTTGGGGGCTTAAAGGAACCCGGAAGGCAACAACCCCTTAAACTTTTGAATCAACTTTTGAAGTGGCGCTGTCCCTTTAAATTAATGTTTAAAGGTCTAGTGCCAGGCAAAATTCGTTGGAAAGGACGGTTTCCACGCAACACCTATTTACGGCCAAATTAAGCCAACTTCCACCTTTCTCCCAACCTAGAGCCAACCGGGTAAGTGAGATTAGAGCGTGGCTGGAATCGAGCCTCCCACGAGTACTCTAACCGCCTCATTCCAATCGGCACTCGAGCCAGGAACGCTGGTCCATTTACCCGTTTCCGGTTGCTTCAAGCGAGAATTTTGAGGTCGCCTTGCGGCGTCCGTGTAAAATCCGGATGCTATCATGTTTCAGAATGCAAGATGTCAAAATGGATTGATTGTAGGAGCTAGCAAAGGTCTTTTAAGACAAAATTAAGCTAGCAGAGAAATATTCGCAAACTGGAAGGCAAGCCAGCAAAGGTTTTTGAGGAATCTTTGTGGAGGCTGGCAGCGATAATTAAAGGAACAAGCGAGCCAAGATTTTAGGGCGGTAAGAAGAGCAGCCGGCAGAGACCCGTTAGCAAGCAGAGAAACAAGCTAAAAGATATTTTTTAGGAAGTTTAAGGGCAAGCTAGGAGAGATTCTTCGGGAAGTATGAGAGTAAGCTAGCGGAGATTTTATAGGAAGTTCAACGGTAAGCTAGTTTATTTAGAAGATGTGAGGGTAGTGTTCCTTTAGCGAGAAGGGTGCAGCAGTAAACCAGGTTTTAGAAAATTTAAGGGCAGCCTAGCAGAGATTCCTTAGAAAGGACGAGGGCAAGCTAGCAGAAATTTTTTAGGAACCATGAGGGCAGGCTAGCAGAGGGCTTTTAGGAAATGGGTAGACAAGAGAAGCGAGATTCAATACAACGCAAGCTAGCAGAAGCCCTTTCAAAGCATCATTTTTGGGTGTAAAAGCAGCAGACAA